CGTTAACTTATCGAACAAAATTAACGAGCCGAACACGAACTGTTCGCGTACAACGAGTCGTTTTGACAGCCCTACACATGAGAGGTAGTTGAAGCCTATAGATAGAGCCTGAAGAGGAGCTGCAGCTCAGTATCACCGCCAACTGATGTCGATCACCGTCGACCACGGCTGACCGCCGCCGACCACCGCAGACCATTGTCAACGGTCGTCGACCACTGTCGAGCGTTGTCGACTACCACCAACCAAACGTCGTCTTTCCAACAATGACCTACATGGTCATCAATTCATGTAGTTTCAGACTACGGCCTTCGCGGCCTACAAACGCCATTCATACTCGCTCTAATGACTTACTTGGTCATCAGCTCATGCAGCTCCCGACTCCGGCCCCCGCAGCCTACGAGCGTCATTCATACTCGCCTCTATGACATACGTGGTTCACAACTTCTGCTGCTCCCGACTCCAACCCCCACAGCCAATGTATGTCATTCATACTCGTCACTACAGCTTAACCGCTTACTACGATTTCTCTAACCAATCAACGCTTCTTGAGCAACCATCTACAACACTCACGACGGACTACTACCTCCACAACAATCAACAATGACTCTTGCAACCTGTTGTCACCAATAATTGCAGCTATATTATAGTTATACAACTTTGTAATTTCATCTTCCCCAATTTAGGAGAAAAATGAACATGTGTACTCATCTTTCATAGTTGATTATTTCAACTAGATTAGGCCCCGCATTTTTTTCCCTTTTCAAGGTTTTTTCTATGTTGAAAGTCGAGGTGTCTCATTTTGCTTACTTCTCCTCTTTTATCTATGTGTGTTGAATTCTCGTGCAATGTTAGTACTATAATCCATTACTGTACCGCCACAAATTTTCTAGCATGCATCAAGCCTAATATTATTTTGGACTCCAATGACTTGTTCTACTTAATGGGTTTCTTCTAGCATTGCATTTACTCAATCTGCATATTTTGGTTGTTATTGGTAGGCTCACCAATGTTTGGACAATTTTGAATAGCTCTGATTGAGGTTGAATATGTGGACATATATGACAATTTATGAAATACACCATGATTTGTGTAGGGAATAGGGATCGACCTCTTAAGTAATAATACAAAGTATTGCATGTACATTCTATAACTTCAGGAAACCTGACGATCAAATTATATTCCAATAACTTCCTTCCGAATTTCTAAGTGAAATATTGTGAATGACTAAATATACATAGCACACGTGTAAACCCCTGCTTTAAAAGTCGTGATCATAATGAACGCTGCAGAAGCCCACTACACCTGCTTTAAAAGTCGTGATCATTTGATCCGATACAATAATTTTCATTATTTGCATATAAATAAATAAAAAAAAAAACACCTAAGCCGGCTTTCCCAACTGGACATCGCCGCCGTCTGATCCGCTGCTTGCAAAAGCTGCCCATTGAAGGCCCCGTCGTAACTCCGTCAATTTCTCCGTTAAGGCCGTTTCTCTCGTGCAAATTCCATTTTAATATATGTAATTATTAAATTTGTTCTGCAACCCCCCACCCCTCGTCCTCTCGCGGCCTCTCTCTCTCTCTCTCTCTCTCTCTCTCCTTCTCCTCCTGCTCTGTGCTCTCGCGTTCGGAGAAAGGCTTCTCTTCGCTTTGCTACGTGCATCTACCCACTACTCAACTCTGTCTCCTTCTCTTCGCTCTATTTTACCAGTCTCCTCTTAACGTCTTCAAGAATACCAGGGCAAGCTTCATTAGGACTCCGGTGCTTGGTAGGTAGCCATCCCGCTCCTCCCCTCTCCCTCCGTTACTGTGGGCTGCGTCTGGCTTGAAGCAGCGGGTTTACGGCGTCTTTCGACTCTTGCAATCATAGCTTCGACTTCTACGGACGCTTCTCCTTCTTTTTTTTAAACGACCGAGGTGCCCCACTCCCGTAATCTCGTCCGCTCTACCCGTCTTTTTTGTTCCTTTTATACTCTATGAATATCTTAATTACTCTGCAATAGTGAGAAAATCTTCGGGACTGATAATACAGGCCATGTTATCGGGAGTAATTCGTTGTAAGTTAGTTTTGATACGTACAGGAGGTGGTTTAGTGTTGAAAAAAAGAAAAAAAACAAAAACATTGCCTAAGCCGGCTTTCCCAACTGGACATCGCCGCCGTCTGATCCGCTGCTTGCAAAAGCTGCCCATTGAAGGCCCCGTCGTAACTCCGTCAATTTCTCCGTTAAGGCCGTTTCTCTCGTGCAAATTCCATTTTAATATATGTAATTATTAAATTTGTTCTGCAACCCCCCACCCCTCGTCCTCTCGCGGCCTCTCTCTCTCTCTCTCTCTCTCTCTCCCTCTCCTCCTGCTCTGTGCTCTCGCGTTCGGAGAAAGGCTTTTCTTCGCTTTGCTACGTGCATCTACCCACTACTCAACTCTGTCTCCTTCTCTTCGCTCTATTTTACCAGTCTCCTCTTAACGTCTTCAAGAATACCAGGGCAAGCTTCATTAGGACTCCGGTGCTTGGTAGGTAGCCATCCCGCTCCTCCCCTCTCCCTCCGTTACTGTGGGCTGCGTCTGGCTTGATGCAGCGGGTTTACGGCGTCTTTCGACTCTTGCAATCATAGCTTCGACTTCTACGGACGCTTCTCCTTCTTTTTTTTAAACGACCGAGGTGCCCCACTCCCGTAATCTCGTCCGCTCTACCCGTCTTTTTTGTTCCTTTTATACTCTATGAATATCTTAATTACTCTGCAATAGTGAGAAAATCTTCGGGACTGATAATACAGGCCATGTTATCGGGAGTAATTCGTTGTAAGTTAGTTTTGATACGAACAGGAGGTGGTTTAGTGTTGATGAAAGCTCGATTGCGTAGTGAGATTTTTGTATTTATTGAATGGATATGTATACAAGCTTCGCACGTCTTATTGATTCGTTACATTTTAGGTCAGTTTTGAGCTCTGTCGAACAAAGTCGTATTTGGGCTATTCGAATCTATGTTTATTGTAATTGTAGTTCAAGAAAATTAGAACGATACAGATTGTGTTGTTGAATTCTTAGGGTCATTTTTTATTCAATTTGAAGCATGCTTCTCCAAATGTTATTCCTTACGTGCAAAATTACTGTAGTCGCAAGCATGTTTCCTCCTTGTTCACCTAAAACTTAGCTTAATGTCTGTATTATGGATGTTTGAACGTGGAAATAACAATCATGCAATTCTGTTTTTAAACATAAGGCCTTTAGGGAAAAAAAACTGATGCCTTCATTGATACCAGAGTTAACTCAAACAAGAACAGGAAAAACAAATATTTTTGCTCAAAACATATAGGATTACAATCGAGACTCAAAATAGAAAAAGAAAACACAACAAAGTAGATTTGAAATAGGAAAAGAAAATATAACAAAGTATTAATATTTTACTAGGGATGGATAGGACGAGCCGTGGATAATGGTGATGGATGGTTGGCTAGGCTGACGATGGCAGCAGGAGGGTTGGGCATTAGTTGCGGTTGTAGATGGGAGTGAGAGAAAGGGGGGTGGGGGTTGTGCAGGCAGCAGTTGGTAGGGAGAAGAGTATACGCAAAAACAGTGGAGAAGGGAGGGAATTACAACAGTAGTGATGGGAACTGGAAAGAGTTACGATAGTGGGATAGGAGGGAAGGAGGTGTTGATTACACAACAGGGGGTTCTTGGGATTAGCGGCTGGGAAAGAGGTGGATGGGAGTATGGGGAAGATGGCAATGGGGAAAAGGGGAAGATACACACCACCTCTAATGAGTTACAACTGGAGCACCTTCTCGTCATTAGATATAACCCTAGAAAGGAAAAGAGGGACGTCGTAGACTGTCAAAACAAAAATCCCATCAAAATTGAACCCTAACACAAGAAAATACATAAATATCAACCCTAACCCCAACAGTTTGACAGATCCCTTGCAACACATTGCTGAATCGGTTCAACGCCCAAAACCCCTGGTCAGCCTTCCGGGGTTGGGGACACATTAAGGGTGACAGAGTTGTTGGAATCTCCCATGGTTGAAGGATCCTCGACTGCGAACCTCGTAGCTCTTGGATTCCACTGTCGATTGTACTGTCTTCCAAAACACCAGAGGAGCGTTCTCCATCTGCAAGCACACTTCTATATCGATCCACCCTTTTGGGAATCCATTTCTGAGCTGAGCTGGGTCTGCGTGTCATACATATGCAGCTGAACCCACTTAAAGTAATCTAAGATCGGCTCAATCTGATCAGAAAAGAAGGGAACCTAAGCCTCCCCAAATGGTGATTGTTATGGTGGTAAAGTGACGATCGTGATGTTCTGAAATGTTTGCTGTTGTGACTTTCCCATATCTATAATCAGTGTTTCAGTCCTATCGTCTCCTGTCATCACCAAAATTAGCCGTATCGATGCTACTTTGCTGGTAATGGCTCCTATGTCTCAAGCTCTGTTGAAGGGAGAAGGATGATGCGCTTCCCATCCTTGGTGAAAGAGTAGGTGTTTCTGAATACATAGTGTCAAGGCATGTTGTTGAATTGTCATTGTCTCCCCAACAACAGGTGGTAGGAATCAATTGGTACCGCGTCACACCACACTTGATCCTGCAGCTAGCTCCCAATAGAAAACACCACTAGTCACCTCCGGTCAATGTTCACCCAGCTCTCCTTCTTCAACCACTTTAGAGAATATAGCTGGGAGTGCCTCTGAGTCATAAGACCCAACTGCTCCACCATCTTTGCAGACGCCACGTTCTTACCGTTCCCTCCGTCGATGATGAGTTTGCACACATTTTTGTTCACAATACAACTGGTGTAGAATATGTTAAGACGAAGTCACTGCGAATCCCTCGTATCCTTAGTCTATAGGAACCGTCAAACCATGAGCATCTCGCTTTCATTCGATGGGAGATGGTACATCTCATTTTGTTCTTCAAATACCTCTTTTTCGCTAACCTTCTCCACGACACCTTGCTTGGTAAAAGATAAAACTCGATTAGTCAGCTAGCTGCAGGTGATGTGCCCAAATTCGTGGCACCCATAGTATTTTTTGACAGGGACTGTAGCAGGTGTGGTACTCTTCTCAGACTTCTTCTAGTTGGGGGTGACTTCTTCCTTCTCCGTACTAGTTTTCTTAACTTCATGTGGTGTACTCTTGTTGATATCTCTAACTTTGGGTAGTTGTCTGACTAGTGGTGGTTGTCTGCTTTGTTTATGTCATTTTTTCACTTTCAATGCTAAGGTCTAGATATTTCCAATAAGCTAATAGGGCTACAGTTGTACCGCATTACTGATACCGGGCTTCACCCCCCCAACATCCGATAACGGGCTATGGTGTGCTGCTCTGGCTTGATCAAATCACACTTCATCTACAACTGATCAAATTGCGTCGTGAACTCCTTCACTGATAGATTTCTCTGCTATAGGTGACAAAGTCTCAAAAATATATCCTGGCGGTAATGAGGTCATAGGTATTTCCTTTGTATGGCATTCCTCATCTTCTCCCACGTGGTAATCTTGTCATTATTTTCTCTCTTCATTTGCCTCTACAAGTTTTCCCACCACAAGAAGGCACTTTTTCTAAATTTGATACCTGCAAGCTTCACCTTTAATCTTCTGGTACCTCTTTGTACTCAAAGATTCGCTCAACTGATTGTAGTCATTTGATAAAGTCGTTTGGAGCCATACCTCGATCGAACTCTGTTAGATCCATCTTTTTTGTTAAGTCCCTGTGTCCTCCATAGGTGGTCTCCTCTCTCAAGCTCCTCTAATATTGGATTCTAAAGTTTTGTGGCCTTTCTTCTTTATCACTAAAATCTTTCCTATGGAAGGGGTTGAAATTCTCATCTCTTTCATTTCTTTAGCTCTCCCTGTCACCATCAAAGGTAAGACCCTCCTGAGTTTCATCCTCAATGTCCGGAAGCCTCCGCTGAAGTAGACGGATCTCTTGTCGTATCTCTTTCCAGATAGGCTTGGGCATGTGTCTCCTTGGTGGCATAATTTTGGTTTAGAGTTGAGAGGTGAAAGAGGCTATAAAAATTGATATAGGGTTACTGATTTTGAAAATTAGCCAGGGAAAATTAGGATTAGGTTAAATTTTGGCTATGGTTCAGGAATAAGAAAAAAAATTTGGCAGAGTGGGTAAGGCGGATCCCAGGAAACCATTGGATAAGGCTAGGGTCAACCCAACTCTTATACCAATTAATACCGAAGTTAACTCAAATCACAACAGGGAAAGTAGTTATTATTGCTCAAAACATATAGGGTTACAATCAAGACTCAAAAAAAAAAAAAAAAAAAAAAAAAAAACCAACTAGGGTTGGATGCGACATGCCGTCGACAGCAGTGAGAGATGGCTGGCTGGGCTGGCGACGGCAACAGGAGGGTTGAGCGTTAGGTGTGATCGTAGATTGGGGTGATAGGGAGAAGGGTATACACAACAACAGTGGAGAAGGGAGGGTGTTACAATGGTAGTGATAGGAATTGGAAAGAGTTACGACAGTGGTAGAGGAGTAAAGGAGGTGTTGGCGGCTGGAAAACAGGTGTATGGGAGTGCATGGGATGACAGCAGGGAGAAAAGGGGAAACTAAACACCACCTTGGACGAGTTAAAATCGGAGCACCTTCTCGTCGTTGAATACAACCCTGGAAGGGAAAAATGGGACGGTGGAGGTTGTTCCAATAGAAATCCCATCAAAACTGAACCCTAATACAAGAAAATACATGCATGCATGCACACACACACACACACACACACACACCCATTTTCGAAATTATAATATATATATATATATATATATAAATGGGAGAGGGAGACTCCTCCCCTTGAGCAGCAACCCTACAAGGGTTCGGCCGGCACCATGCAATAAATAATGTTTTCAATAGAAGTATTTCTTGTAAGGGCTAAGTACAATGAATTCCATTTAAACAAGCTTGGAGTTATATTGTCTTCCCATCCCAATCTTCTTCTAGGGATTTGATGAAGAATTCCTTGTTTTGTATTTCAATGGATGCTGAATCAAGTTAGGCCTTCACATGTTAGCCTAGTATGCATAGATTTTTATTGTTAGGTTCTCATCAAGTGTAGAAGTAGAATGCTCTTAATTTATCAAACAATTAGTATTATTATGAAAATTCTATGTTTATTATTTTTCTGATTTGTACTATATTTATGTCGTATATTTTTTGGATTGCAATGTGCTTATTTTTTTAAGATACTAATATAACTTTTCAGCAATGCAAATTGATATTGGCATTCTAGAATCATATTATTATTTATGTATTGCTCGACAAGAAAATATTTCATGGTATATTATTGTTAATCACTAATTATTTACCCCAATCTGTTATAAGTTGTAGAACGTTCTAATACTTTTGTTTTTGAAACAATTATTAGATGATCATCGTGGAAGCACTTTCTATAGTAAATATTTGGAGCTGAATGAGTTATTTTGAGAAAAGTTCAGTGCTCTAGGATATTAAGATTTAGCTTTTTCTATGATTGCTACGTCTATATCACAATATAAAGATAATCATGTGAGATGGTTGTGATGTTTATCATTTGAATTTTTTTGTTTCTGTTAAGTCTGCTTGGAACAACTTTTTAAAGAATTCACAAACCTATCAGGAATAAATTGCAATGAAGAATAACTTCTGCATTAGGAATTTTCAATGTCTCAGACCTTTCTGTGGATTTGATGAAAAGTTACATTGGACCAAAGTTCTTACATTCATTTATTACTTTCTACGCACTTTTCAATTCTTAGTTAGCAGAGCAAATATAAATGAAAACCAATTCAATATTGTTAATATGGATTAAATTTTCTTTTCTATAATTGAAATTTGAAAATGTGCACAAATATTAGATGTCATTGTACTATCTAGCAAAGGTGATGGAGGTGCCATAGAAGGGATTTTAATGATGAATGCGTTAGCTTGCTTTTGGTTGTGAAGTTCTAAATTTTGAAAGTCTAAAATTAGGAAAGAATCCAACTTTATGGAAGATGTAGGTAGACTAGTTTAGGGTTTGGATTTGGGATATGTTAGGATTGTTTTTCTGAGCTTTTGAGGGTGTCGAAGTGGTACTTCATTGGTGAGAAATGAGATCGATTGGAAAGATAGAAGGATCCTTATAACTTGAGGGAAAGTTATATCATGGAGGGACAAATGGAAGGCTAAGGTATTGGGAGTGAAGGCAGAAGTCGAGCATTACCTCTAGGGTTTCTATGGGAATGGTAGCTAGGGAGGGTTAGGGAGGTTGTAGGATGTAGGATTCATGCTAAGGAATTTGTGTGAAATGTTGGAGGTGGTTATAAGTGGGTTTTAGTCCTTTGAGAGGTAGGTGGCCAAGTGCTAATCAACATTGGGGAAGTGGGTATTTAATTGAACCAAAAGAATAACTCTCTTGCTTTACTAGTAAAAGTGTTCTGGATCTTCCACCAAATTTATTTAAATTGTAGAGCAGCTGCCAAACGTTTTCATAAAATTTTGTACAAACAAAATTAGTTTTATTGAAGAAAATCTCAAATGTTACATGGGTGTACTTAGAGGACAAAAATGATCTATACTATTGGTGGCCGGAATGGCGACATATAAAGATTCTTACAATTATTTTTGGCATCTTATAAGCGCTCTCATCTATTGTTGACATGTATAACATATAATGAAAGAAAATACAATAAATCAATTACCTAAGTTTTGAGCTTAGTTTGTAGCCTTAATAGTAACTTGGTGGGAGGAGGGGCAGACGAAGCACATTTTGGACTACGTCGATGTGTGCTTGTGATGATACCTTTTCCCATTTTGATGTAATGCTTTGACGGAAGTATAGCTGTGCATGTGTGTGCACGCGTAAGCGTGTTTTAATATACATATGACCGTAACCCCATTATTCATAATTGTATCTTTGCACACTATTCTGGTTTATTATAATTAAATTATGATTAGGTGTTTACAAGAAGTCAAGGAATGTTTTTATTTGGAATAGCCCAAGTGTGTTGGAAAGCCTTTTAAAGTTAATTTTGTGGCTATGAATAGAAATTGAGGCCTCCCAACTATAAATTGAATGGTTATGCTTGACACAGATGTACTTTGTGGTTTGATGACTTGATCCTGACTTGTTTTTGGTTAACCTGCATTTTCGATTTATCCAAAGTTATGTTGCCATGTATGTACATCAGACACTACTATCTATATTTACTTTTTAACCATTCTTCTTTGTATTCAATATCATAGATAATTTTTTTGTTTTTGAAGTTCTCATGCCTTTGTTCTGGAATGGAAAGCAGGGTATGAATCATTTGGGAAATTTACATTAGTAGCACACAATTCTTATGGATTTACATATATCATGCCTAACTTTGATATTACATACGTAGCACTTTGGTGCTTTAAAACTATGCATGGATTAGTGCTTTTCACTTTTAAAAAGTAATAATAGTGCTAATTTTGATGAGATATTAAAGATTTGAGTGCTGTGTGTGTAAATATGAAAGTTTGGGTGTAAGATATATAATTACATAAGAATTGTGTGCTATGTATGCAAATGCCCCTAATCATTTTCTGTTGTAACAAGTTCACACTGACATGTTGTCTTCGGTGTTTTGTGTTAAATGGAAAGCTTTTGTTTTTTTCTTTTTTTTTGTTGTTTGAAATATGAACGGCAAGACAGATATGATCAGGTTCGGTTATTGACATGTTGAAGCCCAGTTAGATGTGAGAGTTTATGTCAACAAAGCTTTATTATTTGTGATTTTCTATGCACTGACTTTCTATACTCGGCAGCTTGATTACGTTTGATTGTAAGTAATTAACCCTAAATTCTATGAAGATTAAGTCTCACCAGCAAGATTTCGACATTTTTTATGTTCTGTACCAGCTAAATTACACCGATGGAGTCTGGAGAACAAGAAAATAATGGAAATCATGGTGCAGATCCTTTTGATGAAGATTCACTCTCTTCATGTTTGCCCGAAATTTATGATATATTCGAAGAACCAGTTTTATTTCCTCATGTAGGAGAGCAGTACCAGGTTGAAATTCCACCAGTAGGAGAAACAAAATCATATGATGATGACGAAATGCCTGCCATTAATAAATTTGGAATTGGATTACCAATCCCTGTTACTTGGGTTCAGTATGTAGTTGATGATACCAAGATCAAATGTGAAAAAGAGGAAGTTTCCGCTTTGAATATTGTTCCTGGTATGGAAGGATCAGCACATTTACATAACGATAGCAAATTTCAAGTTGATTATAAGTTTAACACTCGTGGATCTGCTCTTGAAAACCCAAAACTTGCTGGCCAACTTCATAGATTTGCATGCAAAGCTGAATTTCTCAACACATCACAACAGGATGCTCTTGTTGCATACTCAGCAAATCATGTGATGGGTGATAATGATCAGAATGACTATTGTATATCTTTGCTGCAGAGAAGGGAAGATGGGAACTTTTATCCATTGCCTGGCTTGCCAACTCATTCTTGGAGTGATGCAGAGGAGCAAAGTTTCCTTCTTAGCCTTTATATTTTCGGAAAAAATCTAATTCAGGTGAAAAAGTTTATGGAGACTAAAAGAATGATAGATGTATTATCATTCTATTATGGAAAGTTTTATAGGTCCGATGCATATCATAGATGGTCAGAGTGTAGAAAAATAAAAAGCAGGAGATCAATACACGGCCAACGAATATTTACAGGATGGAGACAACAAGAACTCTTATCACGCATTGTAAATAGTTCACACAAGGAGCTTCAGGATACTTTACTTGAGGTTTGCACTTTTCTTGCTTGATATTGATGATGATACAATTAATTTTTTAATGCTTTTTAATTATGTAATTGGTTAATACCTAAGTTTTGCTTTAAGGTGAACAACATTTTCATATAGAAAACGTAGATTTGAATATGGGGCATGAACATAGAGACATCACATAGCCAATACACAGTATTATTTTATTAATTTAAAAAATAAAATGTCTAGTTAAAGCATTTAATGCCAATAATTATATTATAAAGCCTTACAAATTAAACTATAATATTATGAGTATCACATTAAAAGCCTTAAGATCAACGAAAGAAAAAATAATGATAGTTTTTTTGGGATTGCATTTTAAGATTTCATTAGTTGTACTCAATTTTATATAACACACTAATATTAGCACCAATTATTGGACATGAATAATAAATTTATTGTTCTTGAAACAATTTGTAAATCGTATAAATGTTTGTCTTTCATGATAGGATGTTTATGAGCCATTCTAGACTTCAATTTTTAGGAAAACACATTAACTACAATTTTTGGCGTATAGATTATGCGTTATGTCAGAGGTGTGTCCATGTTTATTGTCTTGTTGAATCATGATTTGTCTATGAATTACACCAGAACCTTACTTAGCATAGATTAAATAAAAAAGGGGAAAAAGAGAAATAGAGAGACATGGAGTGAGAAGATTTGTGATGTCCCCTACAAAAGCACAAGTGTATGAATTTGTGGCTAAACTTTATTATATTGTATAATCAAGGTTCATCTGGTGACTCCCGATATAAGTTTGGGTCGGAGTTTGGGTGTTAGAAAATATTGCATAAAAATTTTTATGTATATAAAAAAAAAGGCAAACCCATCAGTTATTGATTGCAAAAAACAATAGGAATATTGTCATAAATAAGAACTCAGATTTGTAGTCGCTTGTCTGAGAAATTGTTGGTACCTTTGAATAAGTTGCCAAATGGTTTTGAAGCTTGGGCAACTATTCTTGAACTGGTCAGTTCGGAAAAATTTCCATAAGTTCTTCATGAGCTCTCTGTGAGCCTGGCTGGTGATTTCACTTTGAATTTAGCTAGTGATTATTCCTCTTTCATCATTGTTAGCAAGTTTGCTTGTAATCAGTCTAGCGAATACATCTTGTGTTTGATTGGGCTCGTCTTTGGAATATTAGGTATACATATCTGGTATAGACACGCAAGATTTAAGTGTTCCTTCTTCATCGATCCTCTTATTACTTCATTTTTGTGTTTAGTTGCTTACGCTCTGTTTGGCAATGCAAAATGGTGTGTTGTGTTTTCTTGTACCATGATCTGCTAGCAAAGGAGTATTTCTTTTTGAGTATTCTCATGTCATATGTTGAAAATAAAGATCGAGTCATTAAGAGTCAACATGTGAAAATAGATTATTGATCAAAGGTACCATGGCCAAGATCAGTAATCAAGAAATTTGGACCTTGGTTGATGATCTGGTGGAGAGTTAAATAAGGGTGAAATAAAAATTTTTATTTTATTGATAAGTTTATGATTTAAATTTTAAATATGGTTTTTTTTGCTTCTATTATATTGATGCTTACAACAAAATACTTCCAAAAAAATTATCACAATCTCTCTCTCTCTCTCTCTTCGGCGTCGAACCCATCTTCAACATCAAAACCTGGATTTTGCTTCTTGTCCAATGCTGTATATGGCCTTCACCAACCCCTGCCTGCAGCTTTAAGACATTATGCATGCTCATACAACCACAAGCCAGTTGCCACCCATTAGCCTCCTACAGATTTCAGCAACAATAAAGTTCAGATTTGCCGTTTTTAGTAATTCTGGGTGCAAGACAGCAAATTACTCTCTCAATTTACTGTAATTGACAAATTCAGGTGTGGAATCTACCGGCTACAGTTGGCCATTGTAGTCTTCAGCAGTTATAATGAGGGAAAACAACATGCTTGGTATTTTTAGAAGGAATATTAGTATAGAAAATTTTAATTCCTTCAAGTAGTACATAGTACATCTATTTTTCTCATCTTAGAAAATTTTTAACTGTTTCTAAAAGTCTTCCACACATCCAGTTACAGAGTAATTTGTAATCAAAGTTATATTTGCATTGCATAGAACAGATTTTTATGGTTTGAGTGCTGAAAGGAATACTCTTTGTTAATCTACAGAGCCTACAGACTATGAATATGAGGATAAATTAAGAGAAATTGAAGGTCTTCTTAGTTTGAAAGATCGAAGGAATAAAAGATCATGATGTTGGCTACTTTTGAAGCTCTTGCTACTAAAATAACACCACGATATGCTCACCACAACTTGCCTAGAATGCAGTAAATTATCTATTAATAACAACTCCCCACCTCGGAGCAGCAATCAATAAAGAGATTTAGTCGAGAAGAATACAAAAGGTAGAGAAGAAGAAAATCTTGTAAGATTGATAACAAAATTGAAGTTTCCTCACTAAGAAGAAACAATCAAGGTTAAGGATATAGACAGTTGGTATTGCACCACTAGTTCACCAGCATTAGATGCTTTACAGTAGAGCTGCCGTTGACAATCATCCTAGGGTGCAATTATAGGCATGGGAGGACACTTGGGAAATCTGTCTCTTAACATGCCTAGTATTACAAAGTGCGGTTATAGTTGTCCTAAGCATATAATTATTCACATGATTGGTGCTGGTTCTTATGTAATTTTGATTCATCATTATTAAATTTCTGAATAACAAGATAGTGGGTATTTTTTGTTAATCCCTTAACTTGGTGTCAAGTTGAAATGTTGTTGAACTTTTAAATAGAAAGTAAAGTTTTTTAAGTTGTTATCTTGCCTTAAATATGATCAACAACCTGATACTAGGGTAACCTGAAAATAAGCAAATACAGTTATTATCGTTGGAGTTTAGAAAGAAATACAACAAGGTTCATAAAATCGGAAATAAATGGCACAATACAAACGAGGCCCTACAGCGAGGGCGAAGGTGATGAACTACGGCTGGACAGTAGGTCTGGTGTTTGTTTGAAAGGCTATGATAACAATTAAGTGGAGGACAGGGAGGGTGCGACAACTAGGAGAAAGCGTGATGAGGTCGACGACACTTAGGGGTTGTGCCAGAGAGTTGGTGGCAGTGAATCGAGCACAGGAGATGATTGGCGGCAACATGATAGGCGTAGGGGATGATTGGTGACAACAGGGTTGGTGTAGGACTTGGCGACAGCAGGTTAGGTGCTTTAAGAGCTTGGTGGCCACAGGGAAGGCGTAGGATGGGTTTGGCGGCAACAATTAAGGAGTATGGCGAGGGATTGACGAGTTAACCATCACTTTGCAGCAGGACAGCTGGTGCAACACCTGTCCTCAGATACAACCCTAATAAGAGAGGAGCAGCCTGACGGTTGTGAAAAAACGACGACAATAAAACTAAAAATTGGAAAGAGAAAAATTTCACGCAGAAAAAATACCAGAGCGACACACAGATTTACGTGGTTCGGCAAAATTGCCTACGTCCACGGAGCTGCAGATGATTTCACTACTTTGAGGAATTACACCGTCGAGCGTCTTGACGTTAACAAGAAAATCTCTATTTTCTTCTCTCCCTTCATTTCTTTCTCTTAGCTCTCAAGAGGACTTGGTTTAGCCTTGCTTGGCTTGGCTTCTCCTTTAAGCCAAAAGAGAGTATTTATAGAAACCATGAGAGCGGTAGGTGAGCAGTAGGTGGGACACTTAATTAAGAAGCTAATTAAATTCGGTGGACTGGGTTTCCACATTACCCAATAATTCTCTCACTTGAGACTGGGACACTGAATGCATCACTTACTAGCTGCATCATCTACTAGTTGTATCGACATTTTCCTCAAACATTATATCCTCCACTTTTGCAACTCGAAGTCCCTGTCTTCATGCTAGAAGACCAGCTGAAGTTGAGCACAACTTCAGCTTCTCACGAGTAACACCCTTAGTTGGCATATCACCGTCAACGTAGCCTCGTAACACCAAGCTCTTTCCTGGGTTACTCTTGTATCCGCTTACAACTCCCACTACATGAGCAATATCCTACCCTTGCTGAAATCCCTTTTCAAGAAGTCTAGTCGTGTACCTCTTACTGCCATTAAACGCAGTTTTCACCCGGTACACTTGTTGTGCAATGTCTTCTTCCTTGGTGGAAGTTCTGTCAGCTCACAAGTCCGATTCCCTGACAGGAAATCTGTTTCCTCCTTCTTAGTCAGCTCCCACTTGCTCAAATTCTCATCTTGCAAGATTTCTTCATAACTCTATGGTTCTCCACCATTTTTCTGTACAAGGCCCGGTTTTTCTGCCTTTGGCGCTCTACCACTTTTCAGGAAACTGACATTTTTTTGCTTCCCCATAATGCACATCTGACTCATGTGTCCTCGCCTGAGTAAACATGTAGTCATATATAGTGTATCAGTTTTCTTACCTCGAGCCGGTACTAATGCTCCTTTCGCAACCTTCCAGGTGTTATCTGAGAACACTACCGAATGACCACCATCATTGAGCTGCCCAACAAAGATGATGTTTTTCTTCAACTCAGAAACGTGTCCGACCTTTTGCAAAGTCCATTTGCTCTTGTTAGGGAGTATAATATCAACGTCTCTCATCCCCACCATGTCCAGAGCTTTTTCATTAGCCAGATATACCTTCCCAAAGTTACCCGCAACATAATTTCACATTAACTTCTGACGGGAAGATGTATGGAAGGAAGCCCCTCTATCCAGTATCCAGTCTTCAACAGAACTGTAAATTGTCAGAAATAGTGCATCATGTATTTCTTCAGTTACAACGTTAGCGCTATTGTTCTTCTTCTTTTTAGGATTCCTGCAGTTCATTTTTATGTGGTCAGCCTTGTCACAATTCCAACAGGTTGCTTGCTGACCTGACTTTGATTTTGATCTTCCACGGTTTGAGTTTCTGTCTTGTAATCTTCCTCTGGAATCAACAATCAGTGTCGAACTCGAACCTGAGGTCTCGCCAGAATCTTTTCTGCGCACCTCCCAGCCAAAATCA